GATGAGGAAGCAACTAATGACAACCATGAAGAATTCAGATTGAGATGGGTTGTGTCTGGGATAACAGGTGAAGCTGTCTGGCAGAGGATTAGATACATGAGCCTGAAATTTAGGAAGTAGTGACTTGTGAGTACTCAACATTTAGATTTAAATTGAGGTGATGTCAATGTCACAAGTCCACCATCATTTAAGGTCAGAGCAAACAGATCACATTTCAGAGACTGGGAGTCAAAGCTCAGAGAGAGACCAAAAAATAAAAAAAAAAAATACCCCAGGAGATTATGGTATAACAAGAGGCTGGGTATAGGGAGATTAAAATTGTCAAATATCCAGCATATCACTGGAAAATAGGAATTGATGAAAATCCAGGACCGTGGAAGTTAAGACTATCACTGTGGGGGGTGGAGGACTTCCCTAGCAGTCCAGAGGTTAAGACTTTGTCTTTCAGTGCAGCGGGTGCAGGTACAATCCCTGGTTGGTGAACTAAGATCCCCCATGCCTTGCAACCAAAAAACCAAAACAGAGAACAGAAAGATTGTAAAAAAGATTTTAAAAATGGTCCACATAAAAAAAATATTAAAAAATTATCATTGGGCACCTCAATAACAATAGTTTCAGCAGAGTGATGGGGCTAAAGTCAGAAGCCAGCTATGTGAGGGTATGGGGAAAAGAGACAGTGGGCATAAATCACTCTTGGGGGCAGTTTAGATGACAGAGATTTGACAGTGGCCATGCGGACTTGGGATCTGAATTGAAGGCATTTAACTCCACACAGGACTGGAAAAGGTCAGTTTTCATTATAATCCCAAAGAAAGGCAATGCCAAAGAATGCTCAAACTACCACACAGTTGCATCCATCTCACACGCTAGAAAAGTAATGCTCAAAATTCTCCAAGCCAGGCTTCAGCAATACGTGAACTGTGAACTTCCAGATTTTCAAGCTGGTTTTAGAAAAGGCAGAGGAACCAGAGATCAAATTGCCAACATCCACTGAATCATCGAAAAAGAAAGAGAGTTTCAGAAAAACATCTATTTCTGCTTTATTGACTGTGCCAATGCCTTTGACTGTGTGGATCACAATAAGCTGTGGAAAATTCTGAAAGAGATGGGAATACCAGACCACCTGACCTGCCTCTTGAGAAATCTATATGCAGGTCATGAAGCAACAGTTAGAACTGGACATGGAACAACAGACTGGTTCCAAAGAAAAGGAGCACGTCAAGGCTGTATATTGTCACCCTGCTTATTTAACTTATATTCAGAGTACATCATGAGAAACGCTGGGCTGGAAGAAGCACAAGCTGGAAGCAAGATTGCCAGAAGAAATATCGATAACCTCAGATATGCAGATACCACCCTTATGGCAGAAAGTGAAGAGGAACTAAAAAGCCTCTTGATGAAAGTGAAAGAGGAGAGTGACAAAGTTGGTTTAAAGCTCAACATTCAGAAAACTAAGATCATGGCATCCGATCCCATCACTTCATGGGAAATAGATGGGGAAACAGTGGCTGACTTTATTTTGGGGGGCTCCAGAATCACTGCAGATGGTGATTGCAGCCATGAAATTAAAAGACACTTACTCCTTGGAAGGAAAGTTATGACCAACCTAGACATCATATTAAAAAGCACAGACATTACTTTGCCAACAAAGGTCCATCTAGTCAAGGCTATGGTTTTTCCAGTGGTCATGTATGGATGTGAGAGTTGGACTGTGAAGAAAGCTGAGCACCAAAAAACTGATGCTTTTGAACTGTGGTGTTGGAGAAGACTCTTGAGAGTCCCTTGGACTGCAAGGAGATCCAACCAGTCCATCCTAAAGGAGATCAGTCCTAGGTGTTCACTGGAAGGACTGATGCTGAAGCTGAAACTCCAGTACTTTGGCCACCTCATGCAAACAGTTGAATCATTGGAAAAGACCCTGATTCTGGAAGGGATTAGGGGCAGGAGGAGAAGGGGACGACAGAGGATGAGATGGCTGGATGGCATCACCGACTCGATGGACATGAGTCTGAGTAAACTCTGGGAGTTTTTGATGGACAGGGAGGCCTGGTGTGCTGTGATTCATGGGGTCACAAAGAGTCGGACACGACTGAGTGACTGAACTGAATTGAACTCCTTCACTCATCCACCATACTTATCTTGAGTATATTTTATGTGTCAATCATAAAATAGGCACGTAAAAACTAAAGTGGTACCCTGTCCTCAGGAAGCAATGTGTGCTGAGTGATTTTCAAATGATACTCCATGAGTCCCTGAGGTTTGGAGCACCACTGGAGGAGGGGAATCAGGGGAAAAGCTGAGCTTGTGGGATCCGTGACTCCTATCCCTCCACATATCACCCCATATCTTTTTCATGAGTGTCTACATTTAAAATATTCTTTACAAAAATGCACTCTGCTGCCAAGGGGGAAAGTTTATAAAGTAGTGCTCTAGAGGACACAAAAGTTTAGGTCAGGGGTCAGCAAACTTTTCTATAAAGGAGCAGATAGCACATATTTTGGGTGTTACGAACCATCTGGTCTGCTGTAACTATTCTGCTGGTGCAGAGTAAAAACAACTTTAGACAACTAGGAATGGGCATGGCTCTGCTCCAATAAAACTTTATTTATGAAAACAGGAGGCAGATGGCAGTTTGTTGACCCCTGTTCGAAATGTTGATGAGACGCAGCAGGACTGCTCAGGCTATTATTCCTGATAGCTTCTCTAGAAGACATAGGATATCATACAAGGGTAACTATGTTTTGGCCCCTCTCAGTTTCGCTAGTTTCCAGTATTCTCTGACCCTTGGTTGCCTCACTTTGCTGTCTTACTAACTGGAGGCCTGTCATCTCCTATCCCCTACTGAAGATTGCTAAAATTAGTCTTTTCAATCCTGCTCCCCCCATTTATCTTTTTAATCTACTGTCCATTTTATTTTTCCTCTCAATTTAAAACAAGGGAGTTTAGAAAAATATCATCCCTTCAAACCAAGCAAAAGCAATCTTTAAAAATGCTGGCTGAAGACACACTGCCCTCATTAAACACAGAACTCATGGAATGAGTTTTCATTAATAGTAATTTGGGGAAACATTAGCCTTGAGAATTCTGATATGATAAGTCTCATGTCACACCAGAAATCTATAAACAGAAAATCAGGGCTCCCTGGGCCAGGCCATGCCCAGAAAAGGGGCTGCCAGCTCCCTGGAAAAGGAACTGGTGGCATGTAGGAAATCTGTGGCAGTCTTCTCAGATCAGAGCTGAGTTGGACACTCTCTGGAGCATAGTAAAATGACAAAAGGCCAGAGGAAGGAGACCTTCCACATCAGAGAGGAAACATCCCATTGCCTTGTTGTGGAAAATAAAGGAAGAGAGAGCACAGGAGAGAGAATGAAGGAATCCAGGAAGCACGCTGACCAGCATGAAGGCCTGCTGGCCTGATTTGTGATGGTTATACAGCTGGGGTCAGTGACCCTTGTCCCCAGTATTACCTTGGCTGACCTGGTGCTGATGTCATGCCCAGTGACTCCCCTACTTTTAATATAATACAATTGATCTCTGGCATTATTAACATGGCAGATTCCCACCTACACTCCTAGTGACTCTGATTCAGGATGGAACTCCAGAGTCTTCCTTTTTTATGCATGTAGCTGGTGATTCTGAAAACCCCTGCCTTCCAGGTTGTGATGATGGTGTTCAGAATCAGCCATTACATTGCACCAGGCTTCTTTTGGTTCATTGAGCAAACATGCCTGGTCTGAGGATGCTGAGTGTGAGTATGCCATCATTAGATTGCAGGGGGAAAACACTGCCTCTTTATAAAAATATTGTGACTTCTAACATGTAATGTTTTATAAAGTTATTTCTCATTTGATCCTCCTGACCAATGAGGTAAACAGGCTGTGAATTATGGTCCCCAATCTATACATGAGACACTGAACTTCCTGGTGACATCTGCCCAAGGACACACAGCTAATAAATAACAGGGCAAGGACTGGAAACTGAACCTTCTGATCACTTGTCTGTTCTCTCCATCCCACTCCTCCTCACTGCCCCACCCAGAATCCTCATGATTGGCAGACTGAGGCCACAGAGTTAGCAGTTAGCTGACTCCTGTTGCAATTCGCCCCATGACTTATAAACTTATGAATATCATGTTTTAATGCAGCAGTATATGACCACCCAAACTTCCTGTTCAGCAGGTAGATGCCCTGGCTACAATGTAAACATGCTCTTCAGGACATCTGAAGGCAGGGCCTGGGAACCTGCAATCTTGTAAAAACACACCAGGTAATCCTAATGTTGAAATGATTGTTACCTGATGCAAAATACTAAGTGAAGTTCAAAATTAACTCTCTACCTAACTTATTACCCAGGTAATGGTTTCCACAGCATTTAGATTCTGCCTTCATGTTCACTCCTACCCCCAATTCTACATTTTCATTGTTTTGTTCATTATCAGCATCTCTGAAGGAAGAGAGAGGGAAAATAATCTGGGTTAGCCTTTCAATTTGGGTGTGCCTATGATGGTTTCTGCATTAAAAAAATCGAAGTTTTTCTCTCCCCTCCACCCACAAATCATGTGCAGTCTGTCAGAACCCTTAGAATATCGTTTAGAGGGAAAGAATATTGTCTAGAAGGCTGATTTTTAAAAAAAAATCTTGACTCTCACAAACTGCTGTAGATGCTTCAAACACATACCTGATATGATTGCTCATTCCATGAGGGTTCTGTATGGAAAAGATCAACACACTCTCGAAATAGAATCTAGAGATACCAAGGAATCTGCAATAGTCTCACGTATTTGTACACAATGCAGTGTAGCTTCTGGTATTTTTATTAGCAATGAGAAGAGGCTTGTCACAGTCAGCCATCTGCTTGAGTCACTGCCCGGCTGCAGTGGCCATGGCTTTAGGGTAGGAACACTGAAATCAAAGCCTAGACTTACGGAAGACTCACAGAGCAGGGAGCCAACAGTACCCTGCAAGTGCCACCCTTCGGTGTCCTGAAAGACCCAGTCATACCTTATGTCATGGAAATCCGCCTACACTCTTGGATTCTCAAAGAGAGCAAGCGGCTGTGACATCAGGTGGAAGCTATTATATTTGCTCTCGTGAAAATGTTCGATATTTCAAAGTGGCCTCTGCAGTGCCATTCAAATTACAGACTTTTTTCGTCCCCCTCCTGCTTTTCCACATTCTAATACAGGCTTCTGAAAGAAAAAAAAAAAAAATGAGAGTAAGCTAGCATGGGACTTTTCTGGAGTCAAAGAAATCCTGACTTTGATTATGGCCTGACATCCAAGAAATCATCTGATTTTCTTCCTATTCTTTTGTTTTTTACTTTAATCAATGTATAAAATCCTTTCATGCTAATAGAAAATTTTCTGAATCTGAGATTACTGTTTGACCACAAAGTTCATAAAATGTTTTAAACACTTTTTGCTGCTGTTTGTCGCTAAGCTGTGTCCGATTCTTTTATGGCCCTGTCAGGCTTTTCTGTCCATGGGATTCCACATCTAATCCTGACACTCGAGGTTTAGGAAGCAGAAAGCAAAGACTTGCCAAACCAAGGGCTAACCTAGTACACTCTGCACCAATGAAGATGTATATCCTAAAATAAAGGCTGTTAGAAAAGAGGATTTTTAAAAATTTGAATTCAATCAGTACCAATGAGAAAGGTGTTTGGGGTTGAGAGTCACCACAAAAAGTAGATTAGAAAAAATTATTCTGAGATGTGGGAATGAAGGTGAGTAGGTCCTCCCTATCCCTGCCCCAAATAATAAGAGGTGGCATTTTGAAAAGTAAAGGAAAAGAACAAACAGCCATTTGTTGACCAGAATGTAGTCAAGGTTTCACAAATCTTGTCTGCCATTGAGCACAGTGATGATCTCAGAGGGTCCTTAATCCACCATGCAGATGTTATTGTATTTGGCATTTGTGCTGGGTATCAAGGACAAAATAGGTGGGAAAATTCAACATCTCTTTCTCTAGAAAACAATCCCAGATTTGTGGGAGGAGGTCAAGGAACAAGCAGAGGGTTGGTATACTATAAGGAAATGGCTGGCTCTGCATGTGAAAACACACCATTGATGCAATCTGTTCTCAAGCCAACTCGGAGCCAGCCAGGATCTCAAACTTGATGACCAGGCTAACACCAGCAACTGTAGCTGCTGTTTCCTTTGCTTCTCCAGCCATCACAGCTAGGAATGCTTCACATTTGCACAGCTATATCCCTGTGACTGCTGTACAGCCAGAGAAGTTTTCTATTTGTCTCTTCCTTTAAAAAAAAAAGACTCCAGGGACGTCCCTGGCAGTCCAGTAGTTGAGACTTCACTTTCCAAAGCAGGTCCAGTAGTTGAGACTTCGCTTTCCAATGCAGGCAGTTCGGGTTTGATACCTGGTCAGGGAGCAAAGATCCCCCATGCCTCATGGCCAAAAACCCAAAACATAAAACAGAAACAATATTGTAACAAATTAAATAAAGACTTTAAAAATGGTCCACATCCAAATTAAAAAATCTTAAAAAAAAATACTCCAAAGTCTATTTCAAGCTAACAGCCAGATTTAATCATCATCATTGTCATCATCATCATTTTTTCTGGTAATCATCAAGAAGCAAAAGATTAGAAGTGCAAAATATCAATCATGTAATTTTAATTGTTTTCAAAGGAAGAGAAAATAAATGTCAGGTCCAACAAGGTCATGTGCCCCCTCAGCAGATAATTGTCTCCACAAGAAATCTTCTGATGTATTGAAACTGAAGTAGATTGTTAATGCCTTTCATTTACAGAGGGGAACTCAAGACTCTGTAGCATTATACAGTTTAGAGTATAAAGCAAGCCCCCCAGGCATTAGTCACTCTTTCTGGGTAATCATCTAAAAATAGGGATGGCCTTTCCAGCTACCCTTTGTAGTTGAAAATGGATGATAGAGGTGCCTTCTAATGTCCATTTCATAGACTCTCTGATACTATTTTTCCTTTTCTCTTCCAGACTCTCATATGTGGGGGAAAGGAAGCACGTTATATTAAAGGTTAAGAAAATTGGACTATGTTTCCTGACCTGTAGCTTAATTAAGAGTTTTTGGTACCGAGTATACAGAAACCCACTCAGACAGAAATAAAATAGAGGGAGTTTATTATAGGAGTGCAGGAATGAAACTCTGAGAAAGTACAAAAGGAATGTACATGGGTTCAAGTGAAGCCAGCAAATGGAAAGCTATTATATTCCAGGGTTCCTGTCTCTAGAATGCCACCTTCTCTTGTGTCTGTTAGTTACTTAGTTAGTTCAGTCTCTCAGTCATGTCTGACTCTTTGTGACCCCATGAATCGCAGCACGCCAGGCCTCCCTATCCATCACCAACTCCTGGAGTTTACTCAGACTCATGTCCATAGAGTCGGTGATGCCATCCAGCCATCTCAGCTTCTGTCGTCCCCTTCTCCTCTTGCCCCCAATCCCTCCCAGCATCAGGGTCTTTTCCAATGAGTCAACTCATCGCATGAGGTGGTCAAAGTATTGGAGTTTCAGCTTTAGCATCAGTCCTTCCAATGAACACCCAGGACTAGTGTTCATTTAGGATGGACTGGTTGGATCTCCTTGCAGTCCAAGGGACTCTCAAGAGTCTTCTCCAACACCACAGTTCAAAAGCATCAATTTTATGGCACTCAGCTTTCTTCACAGTCCAACTCTCACATCCATACATGACCACTGGAAAAACCACAGCCTTCCCATCTGCAATAGATTCATCCTCTTTCTTCGATCAGGTTTTTTTCACACTCCATGGCAAAGATGGCCACTCTATAGGCCTCTATTTCAAAGAAGAAGCAGACACTGACTAGTGCCTCTCAGAATCAATTTAATTTCTCTGGAGAGGAAATAAGATAGCCTGAGGTAGGGGCTGGTGTCTACCTCTGTACAATAACTAGGACAATAGTCTGAGACCTTCTCAGTTTGCTTCTCTTGGCATGAAACCCCAAAATTATGAGCCAGGGTAAGGGCAGTCAGGATGCCACTATCCTAAGCACACCATGTCCAAGCTAGAGCCTCATTCCATGAGCGGGGAAGGGGCAGAAAAAGAAGGTTTCCAGCTCTGGTACTTAGCCTCAGCAACTTGTCACTGGAGACACAATAGGAAATGCTGAAATGCTACTCCTGGGAAAAAAGCCCTCCAACTGGGAGATGGGGGGAGAAGGAGTTCTGTGCTCTTGGCTGCACCCATTAGAGTGAAGTTTCACTAATCACTAATGGGAATAGAGAGATTTTTTTTTCCAAAAAGCTAAAGATTCTCACTTTTCTTACAAAATTTTCATAGATTCTCTAGAACATATGTTTTTTCATTTACTACATATACTTTGGACCATTTCCAGAGGATTTAAATGGTTATTTTTATATACTTTTCACAGTTTTCCTGGGGGAGTGGGTTCACAAAGTCCCTCACGTTANGGACCTTTGATGGCAAAGTAATGTCTCTGCTTTTTAATATGTTGTCTAGGTTGGTTATAATTTTCCTTCCTAAACATCCTTCTCCCTAATTAATGGAAGTTGATCTATTTCTCTACTCCACTATCAGAATAAGATGTACTTTGGATTTCTCTCTATAGAGAGAAGTCTTATTTCTGCTATATTCTCTATATTCTCCTCCAAATAAACCTTATTTCTGCCATAGTCTCCTCTGTAGTCTCAGGAGAAGAATGGCAGGTATACGTCCATTTTTGCAAAGGAAGCCTTCTTGAATTTGTCCTGTGTAGTGCAATTCTCTTTCCCCATTACCTTTTATATCCAGAGGTATCTCTGACTATGAAGCAGCTCCAAAATCTATAATTAGACAATGCCTCTTTGCCCCTCTTCCAGTGAAGAGATGCTTTATCTTAATTTCCCAACAATCACTGGAGGCTAAAAGTTAGTTGCGTTTCTCTGATTCTGCCAAGCCCCTAAGTCAAGTAGCAGATTCTGTGAAAACAAATACTTTAAGTGCTCCCGGTGGAGGGTTGGATTTAAACAACACTGTGTTTCTTCTGCAAGGACATACATCTGCTTTACAGCTTCAGATTTTCCTTTATATGGTTTTCTTAAAGAAAGGCATGCCCTGAGCATCGTTTTCTCCCTACTCACTCCCATGTTAACAGTTTGCAGCAATAGAGGCTGCAGAGCCATGACTGAGAGTGTGGCCTTGAATTCCTGGGACCAGGTCCTGGATCAACCACTTCACATTGAGTCTTTGGACAAGTTGACTTCTATAAAATCCTCATGCTTCACATGTTAAGTAAGGGTAAAATAGTGCTGGCCTCACAGGGCTGTTGTGAGAATTAAATGATGTGATACCTGATATATCAGCATGCACTCAATAAGTGTTAGTATTCCCCTCACATAAGAAAAAGTGACTAATTTATTGACATAAAAAGACACATGATGTGGGGAAACAGTGAGAGAAAACACCATCACCACCCTCCATCCTGAATGATATCACGGCTCTGTCTGTGAACTAGGACACAGAGTTTGAGGACAGATGCCAAGGCTGATGAGAAACGAGGATTAGGGAGCTTCCAGAAGCTTTGAAATGCAATCTCATCTCAATCCCTGGGCAGACGACTAGGCTGAGGAATGTAACTCATCCATTCTATCTAGAAACCTTCACCCTGACTGTCCTCACCACCCAGAGGAATGGACTCATGGTCCAGACATAGTCTGATATGCATTTATTACTCTCTCCAAAGAATACCATTAACTGCCAAGTTTGGTAGTGAAATTAGGAAATTATAATGAAGAAATAGCACAGGGAGGCATATAAACCAGTGGATTCAGGATCAGGAGGCTTGAGCCCTAGTCCTACCTCAGGCATTAGCAGGCTGGAAGATTCTGGAAAACTCATCTCCTCCTGCTCAGTTAGTTTTCTCATCTCTATAATGAGGAAGTAAGAAGAAGATCTTAAAAGGTAGCTCTTCAGTTCTAATATTCTATGGTAGTGAAAACAGAGTTGTCTCTATGTCTCCAAATTCCCTAGCAGAAGGAGTACAGAAGGGGATGGGGCTGTCTACCATAGGAAGTGACCAAGAAATGACATGCAGAGCCTTAGAATCAGTGCCTCACTAATGTGTGTTAGAACTCACTACTTGTGTTCACCCGAGAAACAAGCTGACTAAAATCCTAACATAAACTATTGATAGAATGACTGAAATGAAAAAGAATACAAGTATTGGGAAGGATGTGG